GGTGCTCCCTGATGTATGGGACAGCATGCTGCTTGATCACAACTTCCTCAAAGAATTCACGATCACTTATTCCTTCGAAAATAAGAAGTGGTCCCAGGCCTCTACTAGCAATAGCTCCCCAAACGTGAGCCTTCAGTGGATGTTTTTGCTTTGGCTTATTCATATCTACTCTTTTTTATGAAATCGACACCATTGAAAACTCTTCCAGAGCCACTGTTTCATCAGTGAAAAGTCAATCATAAAATGCTTCTCCCCGTTCTATCCATTGAAGCACTTGCTTGAGCCTTTTTTTATTTATTTTTATCATATGGCATGTTGGTTTTTTTTTACGGTATATCTCCATCCAAGCCCTCTGCACACTTCTTATTGATGTCGGACTCGCGTTCACACCGAGGTCAGCCCACAGCCGTCTTTGAACTTGAGCTGTTGTTAGCTCATTTTCCTCCATCACTTTGTCAGTGGCTCACACAATAGAACTTGGGGGGGGGGTGGAGAGAGACAGTTGAAGAAAGTAATTTCTGTACAGCTGTTACATTCTGACAACAGTTGATTATAAGATGATCTGTCAAAGCGCAATGAAATAAAATATTATGCAGAACACCAAGATAATGATTTGTTGCACTGCCAGATTTGTGGATCAAAGACATTTAATTAAACACATTTGCAATTGAAATGGGTGGGGGGGTAATGAGGACTCTTATTTCTCTCTTCTGTCTCTTATTAACATTCATAAAATGCTTTTATTCATTCATAATCTGACTCGCATAACACACAATCCTGAATGCCCAACTGCTCAACAATCTTGGGAAGAACATGAAACAGCTTGTTAATAAAATTGTTGCAATTATGTTCTGTTGGTTCTTCGTCCAAGAACTATATATATGGGGCGGCATGCTGTTTTACCATGACTTCTTCGAGGAATTCACAGATGCAGCCATTCAAAGTGTGCGGCACAGACACGTACCGGGGGTAATTGGCTACTGGCTACTGCCTGATCTGTGACGCGCGATGACGCAAAATACCGCGGTACGTGATTGGTTGACCAACAGGGGCACTCGTGTGTTGGTCGGTTGTAGAAAGATTGAAATGTCCTTACTGTGCCCGTTTTAGTATTGAATTTTACCACAAGGGAAGTCTTGGTAGCTGAGCATAAAAATAAGAGCATACTGCAACGCGTGTGAAGGCCTTAAACGATATTAATTTTGGAACTTAAACATACAGTATATGGCTGGTCTCGGTACTTTAAAGAAAACATACACACCAGTATTCCATTTCTCCCTAAACATTTTAAGCATC